CAAGTGTTTCCCTGAACACTCCCTCTGATCTAATGCTCTGCCGCCACCTGGTGGCCAACGGCTCCTGCCGGGCCACAACAAAGAACTAAGGAAAATTTTCTTGACAGTGAGAATGATTAACCAGTGGAACAGCATGCCTCCAGTAATGTGGGTGCTCCATCACTAGAGGTTTTTAAGAAGTTGGATAGCCATTTGTCTGGAAAGATATAGGGTCTCCTGCTTGAGTAAGGGGTTGGACTAGAAGAAGTCCCTTTGAACTCTGTTATTCTGTTAAACAAAACTACTATTTGAAACAGAATGTTACAAGGCATTATGTACATGGTCTAAATCTCTTTAATTTATTCCAGACAACCACAGCATGCAAACAAAATAAACAGAAATGCAAGACAATTGCTATTCGCCCCACTTTTGGCAAGCTTGCATTGAGTGAAGAATGAAGAGCCTCCATCTACATTCTGCCCTTAGCTGACCTAGTTGTTGCTCAGTCACTGTCAGTTATCATGGTTAATGGAAAATGGGCCCTGCCATATGTATACCTTGTGAGGAAGCTGACATACTTTTTAAAAAATGATTTCTGGGATTTGTAATGGCAATCTCAGATGTTTTGCTAAATCTAAGAAGGCATTCTTCTGAATTGCAAGCTTAATTTAAAAGAAGCTCAACAAAAACCAAAGTATTGAAAGTTAAAGTCAACATGGCTTGCAGCAGTAGATCATTCATTTTATGATAAGATGTTCTTAAAACAAGGGCAAGGACTGAGGGAAAAAAGTTATGTGGGCAGGAAGAACCGGCAGTGAAAATGGCCCAAGAATTTGTGAGAGGCCACAACATAAATGGTGACCTCTTCTGCATTAGGAACATGTTGAGTAGTTTAAATGACTCATTCGAGATTCCATGTCACTTCTTATAGAATGAGACTGAGAACAACAATAAAAAAATAAGACAATACCAGCAGGGACTGTAGTGTGTGCCTTTGAGTGTGTGCGTGTATGTGTAAAAATGCATAAAATCTTGGCTCAGAGAGACAAGCTTCATGCACTTTATATATTCATTGTTGAATGCAAACAAAGAGAATAGGGCTTATATCACCATGCCATGTCCACCATTTTGCCTCATTTGGCCACCCACATAGACAATGCTGGACAGTATCCATTTCTCTCAGCAGGTATCTTTGAAATATGCATACAGAATGTATGAAAGTTTTATAACATCAATGTTATAAAAAATCTAAAGAACTTGTTTTTATACTGTACCTGTGAGGTAGGTATTATGTGAGGAATTGATAAAATAGTGAGACAGAGGCTGACTCATATCTTCATTCAGGTCCAGTTTTTCAGGTGGAACAACTCCATTTTCTTCTCCACTTAAATATCTCATAAATCCATCCACTGATATCTGTCCTGGGAGAAAAGAAATTCAAAAGTCATATTCTTTAGCTCCATATGCTCCACTTGCAGCTCACAGGCTCATTTGGATTAATAATTTTACAAGGCAAACATTATTTCATGTATTAGCAGCAATATACCTTTGCTCTTCATTGCTACTGATTTATTAATGACTTGTTCAATCAGATATCCTCAAGATGTGTTGGCACTAAAATTCCAAGAAATCCCAGCAAATATGGCCAAGTTCTTTTCTTCTAAGAGTCGGATGTAGAGAAATAAGTGTAGGTTTTATCTAAGTCAGCCATACTAGCTCTGTTATGTATTCCTCAGTCTGTATCAAACAGCCAATTTCTCAGTGCCCCAAATATCATAAAAGATAAGGATCTGATTGCAAGGGAGGAACACCTACTACTGCTTCCATCAGATTTCTTTAATAACCGTTGCCTTGAACGGTCAAAATGAGAAAGAGAAAAAATTGCCAACCTAACATACAACGCGACTTCAACATTTCTCCTTTTAGCTTTATATTTTAGGTGTCAAAAAAAGGAAAAAGTTTTAATGAAGGGAGTTTCAGAATAAGTGTTCCTAGAAATCTATGAATCTGTGTCCTATTGATTATATTGCAGATTGTACTGCGCTATCTTGATTCTACTAACAGTTGCAACAGTTCTCACAATATTGGAATCCTAATGCCCCCCACACTCATGTGAGTAACAGCATGACATCTGCCAATTTTAGTTTGGCATCAACAGGGGAAACAAACATACTTTACATTGCAGAAACAAGTTTGAAAATTGTTCTCCAGCTTATCTGTTTTGGTTGAATTTAAGAGTTTAGAAATTAGACATTCAAAAATTTCCATAAAATATGACATAACAGACTGATGAACACCCCAGCCAGCTCAAAGGTGGCTGGCAAGTTCCACAATTGCTCTGGATATTAAACAGAGGTGGTTGACATATGAAGAAATATAATTAAAAAGATATGTTGTTCTCAGTGGCAGACTCATGCAGCTTCCTGATGTTTTTCCTAATATCATGCTTTCTTCATAAGGATGCAGATATCTGAATTAGAAAGCTTGCACTGCTTGCAAGCAGCAGGACAAAGACTTTCCCAGCCAGAAGCTGTTTAATGTCTCTTATTATAATTTTTTTTCCATATTCTCATCAAGTTATTTTTATTGTATATGTGGATTATCACTGCATGAGAGAATGAAGTGGTATAAGCCTATCAATCCAGCACCTTTTGTTATATCTTCATCAGAGTCATTGTGCTGGGAAGACAAATCTCTATAATTGGCAGCTCCTCATAGAAGTTCCTCGTGATATTTTGAACCTTGGAAGAATGAGATTTTTAATACTTCAGTAGTTCAGTGCAGAACAAGCCATGTCATCAGCCTTCACTCCCAAGAATTGGAGAACAGCATGGGCCATCATAAGACAATAAAAAGGCAGAATAAATAGGATTCCTACTCCATTCTTGATCACGGTGTGAACCCCTGAAGAAATCGGCATTCAGCCTTAAGACTTTGTACCAAGTTGGCAAGGTGCGTCAATAGAATCAAGGATGTTAAGATACTTTCTTGGATGTCCCAAAGATGCTTTTTCAAGAGGCAACTGGACTTTCTTTGGGTTTTTCTAAAAAGATGTTTTGCATCTCATCCAAAAAGTTTCCTCAGCTCTGAAGAAACTTCTTGAATGAGCTGAAGAAGCTTCTTGGATGAGAAGTGAAACATCTTTAAAAAAAACCAAAGGAAGTCCAGTTGCCTCTTGAAAAAGCACCTTTGAGCCAACCATGACCTGGAATCTCCTTAGACATACTTTCTTGGGGGAAACAAACAATAAGAAAAACTACCTTTCAAACTTCAGAAATAACAACCTAGCAGAAAATGAATCCTTTTTTTAAAATGGCCATACTTTTAAAAAAAAAACAACTTAGAATGAGCAAAAGTTATCAAGCCCACAAAAATCACACTATCAAAATTTGATAACAATATATAGAAAGTTAAAAGAAAAGAAGTTACAGAACGTCTCAAAATTCAAATACCTGGTACTTTCATTGGCATTGTGAGGTCAAAATAAACCACTAAGCAGCCTTCTTAACAAAGTCTTACTTGATCTCAGAACAAACCATAACCTTCAAATCAATACTGTAACTAGAACTAGAAGCAAAGCACCTCAATGAAAATAATGTGCTAATTCCTATTGTAGTATCAAAAATATAAACATATGTAAATTTAATATACATACTAGAAGATAGTCTGAAATATGTATAGATATGCTATAAAAAGATGGCATTTTTACTTAAAAACATATGCTATTTTTATTCTTCACCTGAGTCGCATTTTAAGCTTTTTTCTATAAACACAAAAGAATGAATAGCATGATTTTAGCTAGGGAGTGAATACTCTGACCTGTTCAACTGATACATATTTTTGTAATTAACAAAAATATAGGTTAGCAGATGAGCTTATTTTAAGAACATTCCTGCAATCTATTTATACACGTATCTGCACATGAATTATTCAAGAGTAATGTGCATATTCTTTAACCATCTATTAAAGAATAGCTTCTTTCTGTTAAGCTGGAAAAAAATCCTCTTCTTCTTCCTTCTTTTTTTTTCAAGAAAGAGGTTTAAAATGCCTCATTACAATATCCATGATATTTTTACTGCTTATTCTTTAAAAAAAAAAGAATATTGCTAAGGCAATAGAATGCTTTTCTAGATTTTGGAAATTTCAGATACAGCTAAAAATAAAAAGATCATTAAAAAAAATCAAAACACCGCTCATTGTCTTATTTAACAGATAAGATGTTCTGGAATCTACTTAAATTCGTTTATCTGGGATTCTCTCTGTTCTTAATTCCTTATCACAAGAAACTTAAAATTATTATTATTTTTCCATTCAAGCTTCAGCTCATAGCAAAAGCGAATCAAGGATTTATTTTTCCTTCTTTGCTCAGGGATAACTGTCTTTGCTCATCAAATCTTGTTGGACTTCCTAAAATCAAGATGTCCTCTTAGGGAGAGGGAACAAATGTTGAAGATGTACAATAGAAACAGTGGTGAGTTTCAAAAATTGTTCNGGCTGAAAGCCCTATGAAGCGGTATATAAGTCTAACTGCTATTGCTATTGCTAAAGTATCATAAATTTAGAAAACTGTACATATTAAGATGATTGATCAGGGAACTATTACAAAACAAAATTGTACAAAGTAAAGAAGGTTGAAACTTAACAAAACAAATGGAATGCCATAGTTGGTTAAATTGATTCTTCTTCTGTTAAGACCCGCATTTAAAGTTAAATCTATCTTCCTCTATCTCTTTCAGGTTGGTACTTTAGAAACTGCTTTTAAAAGTTATACAACAGCTTGAATATTTCTGTAATCCCTATTGGCGTAACTTCACAACAGTAAGCACTTGGAATTGCTATAAAAAGAAAAAAGACTAAATCATTTAGTAGCAATAGATAGAAAAAAAATCACATTCAGGAAATATGGTGCTAGTCTGAAAATTAGATTGTGGTGCAGATGTGGTCCAATAGATAAAGTTAGAAAACAGCTATTCTTCTACATAACAATCTAATATGTGTCTATATTTCCAAGTCCATAGATGAAAATTTACTTAGGAAGCAAAACACCACTATAGAAAAGGCTCATGGACAATTGTTTTATATATGATAATTACAGAAGGCTATTGTAAGCACAAAGACGGAAGACTACAGAAATGCCATAATGGAGGAATGGATTGAGAAGGTGGCCAAGTTTGCAGAAATTGGTAAATTGATTTGTTTGATCAAGGAGGGAACGGCAGCTACTTTTATAAAAGACTAGAAACTTTTTATGGTGCAGTGGAGCAGTGATTAGAATGCAGTACTGCAAGCTACTTCTGATAACTGCCGGCTGCCTGCAATTTGGCAGACTGAATCTCACTGAGCTGAAGGTCGACTCAGCCTTCCATCCTTCTGAGGTGGGTAAAATGAGGACCCAGATCATTGGGGGCAATCGGCTGACTCTGTCAACTGCTTAGAGACGCCTGTGAAAGCACTGTAAAGTGGTACAGAAGTCTAAGTGCTATTGCTATGGACTTTTTTTTGCTGAAAATGGATAAAAATGAATTGATGATATGGGGATTTATTGATTAGAAAGGTTTGCTTATGGGAAGAAGAGAACCACGATAAGCAATTCAGGAGAGTGGAGATAATAATTGCTATGTTTGTAACTGTAAAGCTCTGATGGCAAACCTATAGCACGTGTGCCAGAGGTGGCACGCAGAGCCCTCTCTGTGAGCACGCGCACTGTTGCCAGCTGGTCTTTTGGTTTCTGGCACATGCATGCGTGCCTGCCAGCTGGTCTTCGCACGTGCCGAAGGGCCTGGTCTTTGGTTTTCCAGCACTCCGGCATGCGCGAATACCATTTGCGCACTGGACAGCTGGTCTTCAGGTTTACGGTACTGCGGTGTGCACGCATGCCCAGCCTTCCAGTTTGGGACACTTAGTGCCAAAAAGGTTCGCCATCATTGCTGTAAAGTATAAAGTATCAAGAAGAATCAATGGCATTTACCTTTTCACATATATCCATTGAGTTGAAATTTCTTGCCATTAAGTGTGATGTATATTCAATGATGTAAGACTATTCAATGATGTAAGACTATTAAAATACCGATCATTATTGCAGGTAATAATGTTATATACATGTATATATTTGTATATACATACATACATACATACCAGTGGTGGGTTTCAAAAATTGTTCGAACCTACTCTGTGGGTGTGGCCTCCTTTGTGGGAGTGGCTTGTTGCCCTTGTGACCGGATGGGAGTGGCTTGCCGCCCATGTTACCGGATATGAAGATGCCGACGACACTTGTCAGAACCACCTTAAATTACCTCACACACAGCACTGGTATGCATAAGAATATGATGTTAAAAGGCATCTTTGGTTTGCGTTAAAACAACTTCAACACACGCAATGTTCTGATTGCTCCACACAGTAGTCATCCTTACCTTTCACAGAG